CTTTCTGTAACATTTATTTTCCTTCCACTTTAATAAAACTGAGAAATTTCAAGTTGCCAAACTAATGTAAATATGAGGGACAAAATTTTGCTTCTTGGGATCAGAGAATTAGCTAGAATTTGATGCCAGCCCTTTTTTAGTCTCATCTGAGTCTCATCTGTTCATAATCCTTAAAAATTTGTTTAAGAGCCACCTTGGTCATCATCTTACATTTGAATGTCTGTTACGTACTGCTTGAGCTTGAATTCTATTTTGAGTAGTATTTAGTTTAAAACTTTCTTTACTAAATTGGAAGTTATCTATTTGACCTCAGCTGGAAAGGTAAGTGTAAATGTTTTCATTGCCTTCAAAAGATAACTGTTGTTTAAAAGAAAGAGTTTTTGCCTTTGTTTGGGCTTGTTCAAGACAGCATTGTTTCTTTTGCTAACTTTTTTTCCACGATGTAAGCCTTCGGATTGAACATTTATCTCACTAAATACTAAAATATTTTTAAGTTTAACTTAATCACAGTGTTATTACTATAATTCATTCAAGCATAATGTTCATTCAGCCTTCACAAACTTTGTCCTAGTGCATGGAATGAATCTATTATGTTTGGCAAAATGCTGCGTCTTTCTTGTCAATCAAGAAATCTTTCTTTGGCAGATTCCAGTTGCAGGATTATGATAATGTTTATGAAGGCAATTACAAACACCTTTTTGATAGCTTCTGAAGAAGAATTCAATTTAAATAAATAAAAATCATTGAAAAAATACACACACACTCATTTAACCAAAAGTTTTCTTTTAGTTAGGGGAAAAACTGATTGCTTAGGTGGGGAAATTTAGATTTTAAAAAATATGCTGCATTGCTGCTGCTGTTCAATATTGTTCTAGTAAAATTGGCTAACATAATTATCCAAAGAAGTACACATACTAGAAAGGAAAAAGAAAAATCTTAAATTATCAGCATTAATAGATAATTACTTACCCAGAAAGCCAGGGAACTCAAATTGGAAAAACATAAATAATGGAAAAACTATTACAAGCAATAAGAATATTCAACTATGTGTCAAAATTTAAAATTACTATAGAAAAGTATAACAAGTTTGAAGATATGAAAGGATAAAAATTTCCATTTATTGTAACAGTAAAACATATATAAAACATTGGATTGAGTTTAAGAAGCACGTACAAGATGTGTATAAATATTACTTTAAAATACTACTAAGGGACAGAAAATAAAACCTGAGTCGATGAAAAGATATGATCTTCTTGGTTTGGAAGATTTTATATGGAAAGATGTCATTTCTCTCTATTAATTTAATGCCACCTCAATTAAAATATATATCCTGAAATTTGTAGGAAAAGTAAGTATAGAAGAGGAATTAGGCCTAGAAAATATTAATTATACAGTAAAGCTCCAGTAAGTAAAATAGTTTGGCTCAGTAATTTGACAGGTTAACAGGACAATATAGAGAGTATAAAAGGAAAAGCAAAAGTACTTGGTAATATAGTTAATAATTATTAAAGGAAAGTTGTATTGTTTAGTAAATTGGGTACAAATGGCATGCATGCTACTAAGGAAAAAAGATAAAGTGGAGATGTACCTTACATCTCACATTCAGTTTATTTCTGGAAGGATAAAAGATTCAATTGAACAAAAAAAGAAAATGCAGCTATAATAAAAGATAAATTATAAATAGGAGAAGATATTTTCAACACATAACAAAGAGCAACTTTTTGATATATAAAAATCTTTTATAGATCAATAGGGAAATGAATAAAATAAATATTAACACATGACTCAGTAATTCCATAGAAAAGAAAATATAAATGAACTAAAATGTGGAAAAATGATGAGTAATTTCTAGGGATCTAATGTATAGCAGGGTGACTAATAATTAAGAATACTATATTATATACGTGGAATTTGCTTAGAGTAGATTATAAATGTCTTCAACACACACAAGTCAATTATGTGAGTTAGTTGACATATCAATTAGCCCTATAATGGTAATATTTCACAATGTTTACGTGTATCAGGTCACTCATGTTGTACTTCTTAAATTTTCACAATGGTATATACTAGTATCTCCTACAATTGGGGAAAAATAGAAAAAGTTGCTTGCAATTACTGAATTTAATAAATGGAAATAATAAAAAAGAAATATTTCCCCCTTAAATATATTGGCAAGTTTGGTAGTAGAAATGTTCCCTGGGGTGTGAGGAAGCATATTATTTCTGGTATTGAAAACTGTGACCATTCAAGAGTAATTGTACAGTAGCTTCCAAAATTTAAAGTGTATAAATATTAAGCCTGATAATGCAATGTCTAGGAAATTATCCTTCAGTCCATTTTCATATGGACATAATGACAAGTAGAGAAAAATCTTTATGGCAGCATTATTTCAAGGTGCATAATATTGGAAACAACCTGAATGTCCATCACTGGAGCGAGCCTTCCTTTGTGAAATAAATAATGCTACATAATAATGCTACATAATGAATGTTTATGTGAATATGCATTCATCTATTGTCTCATTTTCTTGGTTTTCTCATACAGTTTCTTGGCTTTAAATACAAGATGTGTTTGATTTATTCCTGAATTCTATCAGCATTTCAGTTTTCTCTCCTGAATTCCCTTACCCAATTGCTGCTGGGTGTAGCCATTATGAAGTCTTAACAGATATCTCATACTCAACATGTCTAAACTCTAATATTCCCCGCCAAATCTCACTTCCTTGACAGTAAACTCCATCCTTTTGCCCACTCAATCCAAAACCCTGGAGTCACCTTCTTTCTCTCACAAGTAACTTTAAGTTGGTCAGGATTTTTTTTGTTCTCTCTTCAAATTTTATCCAGAATCCACCAATTTTCACCACAGTGACTGCTGTTAGTTATTCTGCTCCACATCACTGTCATTTCTACCATTTTGCCATGGATTACCGTCCTATATCTAACTTGCCTTTGTATGTTTTGTTCTCATCACAGTAACCAGAACGATTTTCATATTTTTTTCATTGTATTTTAATTTGTGATTGACGTTATTTTTATTAGGATATAATTGACATATAACATTAGGTTCAGTTGTATAATACATTGATTCAACATATGTATATATTTTAAGATGATCACCAAAATAAAACATTACATGAAATCAAATGTTCTTCTTCAGCTCTGCAGTGGCTCCTGTTTCACTCAGTGTAGCCAGAATTCCTACATTAATGACTTGTAAGGATTTACATGATCTGGTCTTTGTTAATTTTCTGATATCATTCCCTATTATTCTCCTTTTTCCTTATTCAGCCCCAGCCACAAATGGCTTCTTTGACACATCTTGAATACACTTGTAATCTCCTACCTTAGAGTATTTTCCTCTGCCTGGAATGCTCTTTCCTTGAATATCTACATAACTCTCTGACCTCCTTTAGATCTTTGCTCACTTATCACCTTTTCAAGGTAAGACTATTACCCTAACTTCTTTATTGCCTTACCTTTTCGTTATTGCATAGTACTTAATGATCTCTAGAATGTACTGTATCCTTTCCTCATTTATTATACTAAATAAGATTGTCTGTTTCACTGGTTAGAATGTAAGCTTTGTCTGTTTTCTTCTAATGATAGTATCCCAAGGATTTAGAATGTTGACTCAATAAATAAATGAGGCAATCTAAAAGACAAATAGGAAAATTGTAATTATTCATTGCATTCTGTAAAAATAGATAAATTTATGTAAATCATGTAAATGCTTCTAGATGCATCCAGTCCCTGTGGAAATCTATGAAAAATATCTTTGGGAGAAGTAATTCCAGGGATAGGTAGGAACGCACATTTAATACTTTCAGAATTTGCACATATTACTTTTTTTTTTTAAGATTTATTTATTTGTGCATACAAGAACTGGAGTGTAGGCCAGAGTTAGGGATGAGAGGATTCACCAGAGACAGAGTAGGGAGAAGAAAGGGAGGATTTACTCCCCAGAAATACAACGCTGAGGGGAGTAGCGGGTGAGACAGGAGAGGCTGCTGCGCCATGTGGGTCAGCTCCCTGCCCTGGGATCCAACTCATGCTGCAGTGGCTAGTGATAGCTTGATAGCGCTGAGACTTAACCCTGTCCCACCAGGGAGACCCATGCACATATTACTTTTTTAAAAAAAGTATAGTTAAAAAATATAATGTATAGACGAACCTAATTCTGTAAGTGCCAAAATTCCTTATAAAATAATCTTTATTTTTTGTTACTTAGAAGCTGTTTAATTACATTACCACTAGGTGGCACATACTTACTGATAAATTCTTAAGAACTAGAACCCAGATTTTAAAAAAAGTTTTCCAGTCCCTCAGACTCACCAAAGTTTACTTTAGCTCTATATTGCATTTATTTTTCTTAATAAATTCCCCGAACTTTAACTTTTAATGCTGTATTAGCTTTTGGACAATTTTTCAGTATCAATTTTATTAAATATTTGAGTTGCAGAAAATATCTTAAATCTGCAAATGCTAAATTTGCAAATATTCTTAAAATAGTTCAAATATACAATGTTTATAAAACTATATTTGTCTTCTTTTCAACTTTTTTTCTCATGAAATAACTTAATGAATGAGATATACAGATTTTGTGTACAAAAGTAGATTTTTATTTGATTATTGCATCATTGTTTTTATACCAAATAAATCATATACAATTCTTTCCACCTCTCCACCCTTAGGACTATATGTAATTTAACAGCCATTTCCTGAATGCTTATATAAAATGCATTGAGAATTGGTAAATAGGTACTGGGGATGCATTATTTGTCAGTGAATAAAGAATCTGATCATTTGTTGCTTAACTTTCAAAACCCCACAATTTTGCTATATTTTAGAATAATAAGAATGAAATAACAATCAGATAGCAGAGTCTAAAATATATTGTATACTGCTTCAATTAGATTTAGTTCCAGACAATGACTAAATCAAGTGGATATTAAAACAAAATTATATATTAAAAATAAACTTTTTATCTGTAATTCTATACAGCCAGGAAAATGCAAGAATAAAAAGAAAAAGTGGTATGAAAGTGCACTACAAGAAGCCTGCCTTCTCCATGGATATTCTCATGAGCAAAGATTGGAAATGTGCTGCCTATTAAAACATGGTATATTCACTTTTTATTCTTTACAACCCCAAATCAGGATTTATTCAGATGTATGCTTTCAAAAATGTGTTCACACATACATAAATTGCTCTCTTTCTCTTTATAGGAAGAGTAGGTCTTTGTCTGCTGAAAAATCATTTTTGATGGATTACTAGCATGCATTTTGCCCACTGAAACTATTTTCAATGACTAAACATACACTCCGCTTAAATGTAGGGATTTTAATTAGTGTTTCTGTCATCTGCTTTGCTGTTAGAATATCTACATAGGTCCTCTTTTGTATTTCCAAGCACATGTTTCAAAATCAGAAGACATGGCTTTAAAATACAATCCTGGGGTAAAAACTTCACTTGGATAGGCTATGCTATTTCAGAACCAAGTGTTTTTCAAAATGTTTTATTTTTAAATAAATTCAAATAAAGGATGAAAATAATCCAATTATTTTTAATTAGGTGAAAAATGTTAATGTTTGAAGACATTTTCAAAGTTCTTGAAACACAAATATTGTGCTTTATAGAGACCTTTTTATATGAGTTCATAAAGATGATAGTATTATTTTTATATCTAAGAAAAATGTCACAAAATTGATTTTCAGTAAACTTAAATGTTTTAAAATATTTCTGCTTAGAAATATCATAATGCTTTTTTACTTTCTGATGCCTCTTCTCACTTACCACTTTTAAGTTCTAAAACAGAGTGTTCTATGGGAGACCTGGCTGACTGAATTTTAAAATGACTGATTTTTTTTTCTTTTGGAAAAGTTTAATACATATATTTTAAAACTTATACATGAAAACATTTTCTTTGAGGTCAAGTTTAAATATTAACTCAGCCACCTAAGTTTAGATTTTAAAGTAAGCAGGTAGGTTTAAAAGGAGTATAAAATGAATGACAACTATACTACTATGGTTTACTCTGAGTCCAGGAAAAGAGACATTTATTAGTACAAATGTGATTTTATTCCTTGTGCTGAAAATATAATGTCTCTGTTTATTAGCAATAAAGGTTGAACTTACTCTATTGTCATAAATACAATTTTATGTCTTGCATGGACTTATAGTATATTTCTCATATTTAACCAAAATAAACTTTGAAATATTGTGTTTTTAAGACATTAATATTTGAAGTAATATAGTCATTTACTTTTTAAAGTTACATTACAGCCATTTTACATGAGCAGTAGAACTAAGTCTGCTCAATAAGGAACTAAGTCTTTGCCATTATTTGCACCAGTGTTTGTATCCTGGTCCTTTGGATCCTTGCTTTTCCAGAGATTGTGGAGAGGGTTTACTTCTGATAGGCCTTGTAGCAACAAATCATTTACTTGCTGAAAATCTGATGCTTTGTGCATGTAAAATTTGATGTAAGTCAGCCTGATTATAGAGAACCATACACCTGACAGACTTATTTTGTCCCTGAAGTAGCCAAAATTCAGGGGCATGAATAACTTCAAGGCGTTCCATCTCTGACATAACAGACTCTCACTATTCACTCTTCACTGTTTCCAGAATAGACAATTTAATCCTTGTATCTGCTTAGTTCCCAGGATGATTCTGGCATGTATGTATTCAGCCTCTCACTTAATCCAAAAGCAGTTTTGAGAAATAATTTGCCATTATTCAGATACTTTACAAGGTGAGTAATTTAGACCATTTAACCCCAGCAACTTTCAGGATTTCTTCATCCCCAAAATAATTTTGTTAACTTTTTGTAGCCTGACTTTTTATTTCTTCTCAATCTGTACCTTTCATTTTGTTTTTTATGTTACTGCATTAACTGGGAGTTCTAATATGATGTTGAAAAGAGTAGTGAAGAAGGATTATCTTTGACTTACTCCCCTCATCTTAATGAAAAGCTTCCAATTTCTTAACTATTTTGTTGCAGGTTTTTTTGTAGATTTCCCCATATCAAGTTGAAGAAGTTTCTTTCTATTCCTAGTTTGCTGAATGGGTGATGGATTTTGTCAAGCACTTTACCTATTGATATGATGGTGTGACTTCTCTTTCTTCTAATTGTTACTGAAGTACCATACTGTAGTGACAGCATAGGGTCCACCCTCACCCTTCACATTTAGTCTGTTGATTTTGAGTGTTGAAGTGGACAGGGCCAGTGTACCTGGGATACAACACTAAATATTTCATTTTACTCTTTTTTTTTTTTTTAAAGATTTATTTATTTAACAAGCACTGGGTACAGTCAGAAGCACAGGAGGGTGAGAGAATTCACCAGAGCCAGAGCTGGGAGCAGAACAGGCAGACTGACGAAATACACTGCTGAGGGGAGCAGCGGGCGCGGCAGGAGAGGTCTGCGCGCCATGTGGGACCCTCACCAGCGGCCGGGGATGGAACCGGCGCTGCAGAGGCTGAGGACAGCTTTGCAGCACAGTGCTCAACCGCTGCGCCACTGGGGAGACCCCATTTTACTCTATTTTAGCTTGCATAATTTCTGAGGGGAATTTGGATGAAATTTTAATTTTTGCTCCTTTATAAGGTAAAGTGTTTACCCCACCCCTCTGGGCTTCTTTTCAAGATTTATTTATCACTGATTTTCTACATCTTAAATATGAGATGTTTAGGTATAGTTTTTATTGGCATTTATCCTACTTGGTGTTTTCTGAGCCTCCTGAGTCAGTGATTTGGTGTTTGACATTAACTGATGGGAAATGCTCTGTTATTATTGCTTCAAATATTTCTTCTTTTCCATTTTCTCTTCCTTTTCATTTTAGAATTCTCTTTACACTTATGTTAGACCTTTGTAGTTGTCCCATAAATCTTGGATATTCTTTTCTTTTTTTTTTCAGCCTTTTATCTCTTTGCTTTTTTAATTTTAGAACTTTCTATTGTTATATCCTAAGTTCCAGAGATTCTTTACTCATCTGTGTATACTAATGAGTCCATGGAAGGCGTTCTTTATTTCTGTTACAATGTTTTTGATTTCTAACATTTCTTTTTTACTAATTCCTAGAATTTCCATCTCACTGTTTATGTTACTCATCTGTTCTTGCATAGTGTTTACTTTTAACTTTAGAGACTTCAGTATACTAATCATAGTTGTCTCAAGTTTACTATCTGGTAATTTCAACATCTCTGATATCTGGGTCTGCTTCTGATGCTTATTCTATCTTCTAATTGTATGTTTTTGTTGTTGTTGCTTGCCTTTTAGTAGGCCTTGTAATTTTTTGTGGAAAGATGAACAGGATGAACTAGGTAAAAGGAACATATGGCAAATTGGCCTTCAGTAGTGTAGTGAAAGGTCGTGGGTACCTAGGGCAGCACTCTATAATCCTACAATTAGACCTTAGCCCTGGACTTTGAAATTCACAATTGCTTTACCTCCCTACCCAGCCCCCTCATCTCTTAGGAGGAACATACAGCTAAATGAGGCTGGTGTTGGATATTTCCCCTCCCACACATGGAACACTAAGCCCGCCTGAATTTGGGTATTTCTCTTCCAGCAAGTTTGTTAGGCTCTGAAAACAAAACAAAATAAAAAAAACCAATTGACTAGGCTATGGTAAAATAGTTTCCCTTGAGGGCAGCTCTTATTAAGAAGAACTGAATGTTCTGATATGTTCTAATGTATTTCAAAATGGTGACATTTTTCCTCATAATATTAGAAGGGCAAGAGATTTTTCTCCGATCTTCACTGTGGCAGTCTTATTAGAGCTTCTAGAGGTAAACTCACAAAAGTGTGTCTCCCACTCCCATGACTGTGTCCCTCTAGAGTTTTTAACTCTCAGGCTTGCTCATACTGAAGCTCCAGAAGCGCATTAATTACAGTTCATTTTTCCTACCCTGGCACTGGTTGCAGGGAAGGTTTGTGCTCCAGTAAGTTGTGATTGTTTTTATTTGCCTGTCTGGCTCTCAAAATTTTGGGGCAGTGATTTGCTCTGTGACCTCAGTTCTCTGAGGGATCTAAGAAGAGTTATTGATTTTCTGTTTATTCAGCTTCTTACTTGTTAGGACAGAGTGGACAAAATTCTAAAATTTTCACGTAACAGGCCAGGAACAGTCTTCTGCCTTTTTAAGAAAATGCTCTCAGTTACATTTAAAGAAAAGCATGCAGTTTTTCTGAGGGCATGAAGGGACAAACTTTAAAAAAATTATTTGAAGAAGAGAAGTCATTGGTTTATGTTATTATTTGTACTCATCTCTAATATGGTTGTAAATAAAATACTTACATCTGTTATGGGTCATAAGGCATGACCTCCTTTATTCATTTAAAACTTATTCATTATCTGCCTGCAGCTCCTCCTTTACACTCTTAAGAATATGATATGGCTGAAGCGCTAAAGAGGAGTAAAGGCCCTTTTAATTATCCAAATCTACATTTCCTGTTAACTGCTTTTCACTCTGTATGTGAGGGTCCTACATGCAGAGATTTCTGAAGGGAGGAAATTAAACCTTTCTCACTAGGGGAAATTCAGCAGTTAGAAAGTGGTTAATGTTGCTGAAGTCAAGCGTAGACCTACTATTATTAATAGGGAAATTGCTAGTGATTTTAATTTTTTTTTAAGTATTATGTCAGAATTTCCCTTTGGAATTTGAAAATCAGAGTGATTGTTGCCACTCCCTAAACATTCATTGGGAGATAGTTCTGCAATTTTCGAACATGAAAACTTTCTTGAATAACAGTTTGAATGTTTTCGTTCCCAGTTCATTTCCCTACTGAAAAGTTGACATAAGAATGTTGGGATTTAATACTGAATAGTATCGGGTATTTTAAACTCTTTCAAAGTAAAAAGAATGAAGTGATTTTGAGGAAAAACATCAAATTTCTATTTACTGCTCAATGAATAGTCAGGATGTATTGTATCCAATTTGAGTTTTTGAGCTTCTTTTTGTACAGTTTTAACTATTAGTTAAAATTGATTGTTCATTACAAATGTTATTATTACAGGTCTTCAAAAGAACAAGGAGAATACAGCAAAGCTTATGCTATCGTGTAATTACTATTAGATTTCACTCGGTCCTTTTATAGGTGTAAAATGCATTATGGGGCTTCAATGATCTTTTTTATTTATCTTGAAATATTTTGCTGTTTTATCATTATTCATCACTTATTTACAACTATGTTAAAAAGACTAAAATAATAAATAGAAAAATTATGGGATCATTTAAAAAGATAATACAATGGTGAAATTTATCATCACTAAACTATTCTCCCATTGGCTAAGGTGTCTCTCTTTCTTTCTCTTTCATACACATACCCCTCTCCCCAAATATCCTTATTAGCTCAAATGGTAGAGAACATCATTATTATTTCCTAAACATTGTTCTAGGAGCTTCATTTATGTAGATTATATTATTTTAATCTCACAATATACTAATAAAATATTATTATTCCTTGTTCATAAATAAACTAAGGATGTGAGAACATATATTGTTTTATATCTTATGTTCCTAGTATATAACTATTGCCATATAAATGTAGTATGTGCTTTTATATAATGAATTACATTGATTTGTTTACATAAAAATATTTTTTTCTCCAGTCATAGTTTTGAATAAAACACATGTGCATTTATAAATTAAAAATAATATTGAACACCTAATGCATGTAAAACATGATCCCTGCTTTTGAGGCACATTCTAGTCTTTCAGAGTACTCAGACATATGTAGACTAACCATAATATAAGGAAGTTCTGTGACCCGAGAGGAAAATGGATTTGTAAAAGAAGTTGGTATTTTTCCTATTTGGAGCAGTCAGCTGAGATGACAGATGATCTTACCCATTCATAATGGAGAGAAAGTGTATGCCAGAAGAAAGGATTATTTCAAGAATACAACTGAAAATAGAAGACAGTTTATATGTGGCCAGATAATTATAAGTATAAATAAAATCTACTGTGGATTTCCAAGTTTTATGCTAATAACTTTTTTCTACTGAAAAATTTGCTATTAGATACTAGGCATTTATTTGCTAATATTCATGGATATTTGTTCTGTTTGTTTTATATGTTCATTGTGAATTATAGTCCTATATTTATAAATTGTACTTCTTTGTATTTTTCTTTCATTTTAAATATAACCCTAAAACTTTATTTTTAATGTCCATGCTTCATTGCCATATTAGTTTATAAAACATATTTATGAATAAATATATCCATATTATCCGGTTATCTAAATGAATAATTTTTAAAATGCCTTGCTTATCATGCAAAAATTTTTTCCTGATGCACATGCTTTTAAGCATACATACCAAAGAACACATACAAAACTAATTTTTTTTTAAGATTTTATTTTATTTATACAAGAACCGGGGTACAGGCCAGAGGTGCGGGAGGGTGAGAGGATTCACCAGAGACAGAGCGGGGAACAGAACAGGCAGACTGACCGAAATACACTGCTGAGGGGAGCAGCGGGTGAGACAGGAGAGGTCTGCTCGCCATGTGGGTTTCTCCGAAGTCGGCGGGGATCGAACATGCACTGCAGAGGCTGTGGACAGCTTCACAGCACTGTGCTCAACTGCCTGCGCCACCAGAGAGACCCAAAAAACTAATTTTCTACATTATATTTGATTGATAATTATTCTGGCTTTAGGAGGAGTACAATAAGAAAAATCCTCATTCTTACTGACTCTTTCTGTGAGGCACTGCTTGACAGCTCAGAGAAAGGGAAGTGGCAGACATCCTGGAAAGATTAGGGTCTTGCAGTCACGTGGGTCTGGCTCCACAGCATGATCTCAGGCAAGGTATTTAACTTGTCTTAGTCTAAACTTCCTCAGCTGTGAAGTGGGAATGGATTACATACATTGCAGGAATTTCATGAGGACTAAGTATCTGTTTATATAAAGTTTTTATCCCACATCTGGCACATAGTAGCTGTGCAAGTGGAGGTAACTGGGATTTAATTCTTGATTCTGTATAGTCCAAAGCATACAAGCTGACCAGACCCTGATATAGGTATGTGTTGCTTAACAACATAAATTAGTTGACAGAGAACATATATGCCAGTGGTAGGTGTGTGTTGAACTGTACCATCTAGCTTTGTGTAATCACTCTCCATGACTGCAAGTGACTAAAGGACAAAATAACCTAAAAATGCATCTTTCAGAATGTATCCATGTCATTAAGAGATGCATGACTGTAATCATATATACTAGATGCTAATTTTACATCCAGCCAGACAGTAAGATTTAAGGGAGGCAGGCTTGTCAGATTAGTATATGAATCCCTGGGTTGGATTGGATTACTCTCTAACCAACTCTGGAAAGTTCACTTTATTTGCATTTTGGTCAAAATAACCTCTGGAAACACATATCAGAGTATAAGAAAATAATAATTGTGTAATTTAGCACGTATTTGAACAGGAGTATAGGCATTTTTGAAGCAGCCATGCTTTATTATTTTGCAGATGAATCCAAAGCAGATGCTGAAGTTGGTGCAGTGGCCAAGAAAAGGGTAAGCTCATGCTTAATTATATAAAATATACAGACTTCAAATTCCACTTGATTAATACTATTTTAAAAGAAAATGAAATTAATATTTAAAACATAAATGACAATTTTTGTCTCTGTGTTACTGAGTATATATGTTTCCATTTTAGGTTGATACTAGAAATTTCATATTTGTGATTATATATATCAGTGTGTTATAGAATTACCAATAGAAATTAAAACAATAGAAAATCTCAAGTTAAAAAAAGATGGTTTTATATAATTATAATATATATTATGTATCTTCTACATGCTCTTATATGTTAATTTAATTTTTTATAAATTATGTTATTGTAGTGGAAAATTTTAATAATTAAAACTCAAGTCTAATGTGTACTTTACCTTAAAGTTAAGAACAATGTCAGCACTTGAATGCATTTGCTAAACCTAGGATCCTTTTAATGAAATTTTGTAAAGGTGACAGCATTTTGAAAGAATTTTAAAATTTTAACACATTTTTCTATAGACTGCATGCAGGGAGATATTGAACTCCACTTGCAGAAAAAATTATGATAATATTATAGCATGAACCTTCAGATTTTCCTCAAATGGCAATATTATTAACAGGATACTACTGACAAAAAGTCCATGCTTAGAACAAATTCTTCTGAACAAATAATATGTTGTTGTCTTAAGAAAAAAAATTGTGATCGAAAGGAAAACCTACTCTGTGATATTTCATGTGTGGAGTGGCGGGGTTGGTGCACTAGGGACCCGGGGAGGTTGAGTAGTTACCTGGGGGAACATAAAAGAGATTTGGGCACAAGCTTATGGATGAACAAGCAATGAAGTGGCAACATTTTGGTATTCTGAATATGTACATTGTGTGAGTCCTTTTAAAATCAGACTTTGTTGTATTCTTTTGCTTTTTGACTTACTAAAGGGATCTGGACTTTTCACTGGCTAAGTAATATTGATATGCCTTTGCAGAAAGGAATTCAATATCACAGAGGACAAGGTTGCCCTTTGAAAAAGAAAGTAAATAGGACTGTGTGTATGTCAAAAGTTTTGGACAGGAGGAAGATATGAGGTAGCACAGTGTTGGTAATGTGGATGGAATTGTTTATTTCAGGCTCTGCTGAAGGAAATATAGAATAAAAGTTTTAAGTGTAATAACTAACATTTCTATATATTGCTTTATTTTTACCAGCAATTCAGAGTGAAGGCAGTATTGTCCCTCAGATAGTGCTATTCACAGTGTTCATGGACCAGAGTTGGTCTGTGAATTATTTGTTGTTTATATGCCATGGAGAAATACAAAAAATGAGAGTAACCATTTACAATCTTTTATAGTAATTTGACAGGGTAATTTTTAATCTGTTGAATATAATAATAAAATGGTCCTTGTATTTTGTATGTCTTTTTCTTTTATTTCATTTTTTTCTTAGTGACTATATTTTGTAAAAGTATTGATTTTGGACAGATGTAATAGGGGAAAGCTGGTACTATATCACAAATAGTTTGAAAGACACTGTCATTTGACATAGTTCAGGAATTTGTGGGAGTGTTTGGGTTGTAGTAATTCTGAAGGCATTTTTATTCAACAAAGAACTAAGAACATGAGATGTTCTGCATTGCACGGAAGAAAACTGTATAACAAGAGCTGTCTAATATTTGGCATGAATTTTGAATGCCCTGCTGGACTCAACAAACTACAAATATAATTGTATAGTGATTTAATACACAATAATACTGAAACATAACATGTTAGGCAGAAGGCCAAGGAATTTAGAAGGCTTATTATGGAGAGGGAAGCTGAAATGGAATAAATACACTGTTCTTGATATCACTGAATAATTTACTTATTCTCTACTCAATATATTACAACATTTTCAGCTATATATTTAACTGTAAAGATAGAATTACAATTACTAAGAAACAACAGCAAACATTTACAAATATGTAACAAAAGATGTCATATGCCTTTTAAGTCTTAAATGAAATATTACTAAATGAACAAATACATGAAATGTATTTACCTCACTGAATTAAAAAATAAACATTAAATATATTGGCACCCTTTATATTTTTAAATAGTTTATAATGAGAAGAAATTATAAACATTACATATTGAAGTTATTTTTGAATAGTGTTTTGTTCAGTAGGTTGTATTTGAATATTCTCACTCTAATACTGTACCCCATAGTCTATCTGAAAATTCTTTATTACATCTTATATTACTGTTTCTTTTTTTCATTTTCTTATCAAGATACTATTCTCTGATTTTTGTTCTTCAATCATCCCGTATCTTAGCACTGAGAATTTATTTCCTCAGAGGGAATTATTTGCCAAGTCCATTTGAGAGAATATAATAATTCAGCAATCTATAATTTATTTTGGAATATTATCTCCATTTTAATGAATTTATTTTTACTCATCATACATAAATAACTGATTTGTTACTACTTAACCTAGAAGTAGTTTCTATTCTTTTGTCTACCCCTGCTTCTGTTGGTACACTTTCCTACAGCTCCTATACACAATGACTGTGACCACCTTAGTTTAAGCTTATATAAATTTCATCTTATATCCAAACTTTTTTTTAATGTTAGATAACTAAAATTTTTTTATTATGTCTCGACTCCAAATACTATTTTGTCAGTCCCTTGATAACTCTTGATGTGTTATGACAACCCTTAGGGTGTGGTCATCATTATAAGGTCAAAAGTTTATTTTTTTTAAAGAAAATTTTATTTATGCCTACAAGAACTGGGGTCTAAGACAGAGAATGGGGGCGGGGAGGGCGTTATTAAGAGGATTCACTGGAGACAGAGTGGGATGCAGAACGGGGGGATTTACTGAAATACACTGCTGAGGGGAGCGGCAGATGAAACAGGAATGGTCTGTGCTATGTGGGTCAGCTCCCTGGCCAGGGATTGAACTGGTCCTCTAGTAGTGGCTGCAGATAGCTTCATAGTGCTGAGACTTAACCCCTTGGCCACCAGGGGGCCCCCAGTATCAAAAGTTCTACTATCACATCCACAGAGGTAAAAGAGGGAAAGAAGTACAAATACTTTGGAAAAGAAATTTACTGTAAAAGAAAATGCGAATTTTAAACTGCACATGTCACTTTATTCACATTCCACTAGCCAAAATTTAATAACCTGCTCATACCCAGTAGCAAGTTGGGTACTGAGACAAGATCCACTTCTAACTGAGCCAATGAGGCGGGAGAATTCTAAAAGGGATTGCTACAATAGGGTTTAAGCTTGTTAAAAGGCAGAAAAGGAGCCTAGATTCTGGGTTAAAGTTAGTGATTTAAGAGTTTTATTTCGGGCCTCCCCGGTGGCGCAGCGGTTGAGCGCTGGGTTGCGAAGCTGCCCGCAGTCTACGCGGTGCCAGTTCCATCCCCGGTTGCTCCCCGGCCACCAGAGGAGGGTCCCACATGGCGCGCAGACCTCTCCTGCCGCCCGCTGCTCCCCTCAGCAGTGTACTTCGGTCCTTCTGCCTGCTCTGCTCCCCGCTCTGGCTCTGGTGAATTCTCTCACCCTCCCGTGCTTCTGACTGTACCCAGTGCTTGTATGTATAAACAAACAAACAAATAAATAAATAAATCTTTAAAAAAAAAAAGCGTTTTATTTCAAGATAGAGAATGGCATGCTTCAAAAATGTGTTATATATACCATGGAATATTACTCAGCATTCGAAAAAGATAAACACATGCAATTTGCAGCAACATGGATGGAGCTGGAAGGGATCATGCTCAGCGAAATAAGCCAGAAAGAAAAAGAAAAATACCGGATGGTCTCACTCATAGCAGGAATCTAGAAAACTTAAATAAGGGACCAGGAAAATGAATAACTATAAGAAAGTGAAAATCAAAATCAACAAAAACTATGAACCAGAGACACTTTTTGGGGGGTGGGGGGCAGGAGGGGAGGGATTGGTGTCAGAATGGGGGGGTTGCAATTGTATGGGGAATATAAAAATAAAATTTATTATTAAAAAAAATGTGTTATAAAAAGGGGTCACTAGATCTGAAAAACATTAACACAGACTCTTTCATTTGACCCTCACAATTTCCAGTTGGAAATAGGTCTTACCATTGTCGTTATTACAGAGACTGACCCAGAGTTGTCAAGTGACTGACAAAATAATATTAGAGCCAGGGTATGGATCCATTTCTGGTGGTCCACAGTACCACAACTTCCATTTCCAGTTCTTTGACTTTCTAAATCAGATACTGAATTACTTACTAGTATATAAATCATGTATTATGTTTGATTCTTCAATAATTTTGAACTTAATGCTTATGAATGGATACATTTTAAAACAATTCTTCATCTGTATATTGCTTTCATTACAAAGCATTTTCACAAACATTGTTTTTCACTTCAGACCCTTGGGCAAAAGGCAGAACATGATAACACAGTGCATGCTCTGAAAGGGATTTGGCCATTGCTGTGCATCGAGTGTGCAAAAGAAGCACACTCTTCTTCTCTAATAAAATTTTAGGAAAAGAGAGTCTTACTGGATTTATGCAAATAAAAACACTGACATGGGAAATATGAATACTTACTAAAAGTAAACATTTTTGGTGTGTCAGAGAAAGAGAAAGCAAATGTTTAGTTATGTTCATAAAATCTTGTAATTTACAACTGCTATAGATCATAGCTCAAAAATAGAGATGTTTTCTAATAAAAGTAAAACAAAATATTTCAAACAGACAGTTAAAATGATATTCGTCCACCATAGTTCCTTAGTCTGAGTTTTCCTTAGGTCCTATTAAGGATTGGCAAGCTAGGCCCATAATACAGTTTAAGTGTTAATTTCATTTAATAAGATAGATTTTATTCTTCTGTGCAGTTTGGATCTGTGGATACTAAACAGAATATTTTTAAATACTGTTTTATAAAAAAATATAGATCAACAAAGGAAAGCTATTGATGTGAAAGCAAAAGATAATAATAGTGTGATGTATTAGTGCCTATAAAGTGCCAAGAACTACATATGTTATTTCATGTA